TATTCTATTCTATTCTATTCTATTCTATTCTATTCTATTCTATTCTACTCCACTCCACTCCACTCCACTTCCATTCTTTCCTGTTGTTCTGTTCCATTATTGTACTCTGTTCTACTCTATTCTCTCTCTGCTCTGCTCGACTCCACTCTATCCTGTTTTGTTTTGTTCTGTCCTGTTCTGTTGTTCCATTATTCCAGTCCAGTCCAGTCCATTATTTCTTGCTTTGTTCTGTTCTGTTCCGTTATTTTAATCTAGTATAATTAAGTCGAATTCTGTTCTATTCCATTCCATTCCATTCTACATTCTATTTTGTTCTGTTCCCAACCCCAGACTGATTCTCAGCAGCACACAGTGTAAATAAAACAAAACTGAAGGGGAAAAAAAACCCACTAAATAAATAAATAGGATGGGATCTGGCCACTCAACACACATCCAACAAGATGCTTCATCCACCTTAACCCAACAATTGGGAGAACAGCCACGTTTTCAAAGCCTTGTGGAATTACATCAGGTTGGAGGCTTTGAAATAGCAACAATACTCCGATAAGCATTGGAAGAATATTTTACAATTCCGACAATCCTCTAAAGCTCTTCCTGGGTAAATATTTATTAGGCATTATGGGAAATATAATTTGCAACTTAAGGTGCCAGAAATTCACTCGAAGTAAAGTTCCAAGGCAAGATAATTTTTTTTTTGGTCAAATCTCATCCCAAACCATCTATGTGAGTCCTAATTTGCTCCCTCCCTGAGTGTTATTATGCCCCAAAATTACAATTTGTCAGTCAACGAATCCTTAATACCATGGCTCCATTCTCTCTTGTTTTCAGCTGCAAGGCAGTTGACGTAGTCTTAACAAACCTGTCACATTTCTAAGTTGTATTATCAGACTTCATCTCCTTTGAACTGTGTCATAGTTGCAGGAATAAATGGGGGACTCTCTTGTCAACAGCTTTTAATTTTCTCAGACAGCCATCACTAAAACCTCCCTAAGACACCTGCCACGTTTCCGATAACAACAACAGAAGTGTAAATCACATAGATATAACGGGCATCCGGAGATGAAAGGTGGTTAAATATACACCATTTCTTTTCTCCAATTTTAATTTAAAAAGAGTAGGTGTGAAATTACGCTGGGTGCTTGGAATCAGATTGGAATTTAGTTGTTTTCCAATTAAGTAGTGCTATTAATACAGGGACGCAGTGGCTTAGTGGCTAAGATGCTGAGCTTGTCGATCAGAGAGGTTGGCAGTTTGGCGGTTCGAATCCCTAGCGCCGTGTTACGGTGTGAGCTCCCGTTACTTGTCCCAGCTTCTGCCAGCCTAGCAGTTTGAAAGCATGTAAAAAAAATGCAAGTAGAAAAATAGGGACCCCTTTGGTGGGGGTAACGCCTTTGGCATTTAGTCGCGCCGGCCACATGATCATAGAGACGTCTTCAGACAGCGCTAGCTCTTTGGCTTTGTAACAGAGATGAGCACTGCCCCCTAGAGCTGGAAACGACTAGCACGTATGTGTGAGGAGAACCTTTACCTTAATAATACAGAGCATGTAGTTTAAAAATGATTCTCTGAAGAGAAGGGAAAGGAATGGGGAAGGAGGAAGAAGAGAAAGAGAAGGAATGGGAAGGATGAGAAGAAGAAGGAGAAGAGAAGAGGTAAAGGAAGAGAGAGAGAAGGAATGGGGGAGGGGGAGAAGGAGAAGAAAAAGGAGAGAGAAAGAGGGAAAGGGGAAGGAGAATGAAGAGAAAGAATAATACCAGTTTTGTGTAGTGTTTAAAAGCACAGCTGCACAAACCAGGACACCACCACACAATGAAAAAGCTGTTGAGGCTCTAGAAAGAGTGGAGAGAATAGCAACCAAGATGATTAGGGGACTGGAAGCTAAAACATATGAAGAACGGTTGCAGGAACTGGGCTTGGCTAGTCTAGGGAAGAGAAGGACCAGGGAAGACAGGAGAGCAGTCTTCCAATAGTTGAGGGGCTGCCACAGAGAGGAGGTGGTGAAACTATTTTCCAAAGCGCCTTTAGGCCAGACAAGGAATAATGGATGGAAATTGATCAAGAAGAGATTCAGTCTGAAAATAAGAAGAAATTATCGGACAGTGAGAACAATCAACCCATGGAACAGAAGTTGCCCTCAGAAGTTGTGGGAGCTTCATCACTTGAGACTTTCAAGAAGAGATTGGACTGCCATTTGTCAGAAATGGTGTAGGGTCTCCCACTTGGGTGGGGGGTTGGACTAGATGAGTTATAAGGTCCCTTCCAACTCTATTAATCTGTATCTTATCAGTACCGACATAACATCATCAGAAACCAGGAAACAGTAAGCCGAAGTCCTGCCATAGGAAGAGGGCAAATTGCTTCTGAAAAACTTCAGTTGCCAAGAAAATTTCAAGAACTTGTCATCTAGTCACCAGGAATCAATAATGCCTCGACTTGAAGGACAAACACCCAGGGAGACACACACAGTGCCCAACTGTTCTATAAGAAATTACGTTTTTGCTCCCAGACTGAAGAAAGTTTATTATTTTCTACCACTTTCAATGACTCTAATAAAATCTCTTTTTCCTCTTGTCCATTTGTAATGAATTTGAGCTTTGAAAATTCTGTCGACTGTTCTTCTACTTGAAATACGATCAAAATATGATCAGTCAGTCACTCATTCAATAATTCGATGATCATCTCAAGATAAGGTGATTGAGAAAAGACATTCAATCGATCAGAATAGAGCTGGAAGGGACCTTGGAGATCTTCTAGTCTAACCCTCTACTCAAGCAGGAGACCCTATACCATTTCAGACAAATGGCTGTCCAGTCTCTTCTTGAAATCCTCTAGTGATGACGCACCCACAACTTCTGAAGGCAAGCTGTTCCACTGGTTAATTATTGTTCTCACGGTTAAGAAATTTCACCTTAGTTCTAGATTGATTCTCTCCTTGGTTAGTTTTCCAACCATTGTTTCTTATCTTACCTACTGCTGCTTTGGAAAATAAGTTGACCCTATCATCTTTGTAGGAGCTCCTCAAATACTGTAATACTGTTAACATGTCACCCCTAATCCTCCTTTTCCCTAGACTAGCCATACCCAATTCCTGCAACCATTCTTCATAAATTTTAGTCTCCAGGCCTTTAATCATCTTAGCTGCTCTTCTTTGTACTGTTTAATAACTTATTTAATAACATATCTAACATATGTTGTTATGTTACATTGCCTTTCACCAAGCTGAACTTCTGATTATTGTTCTTGGTATAATTGTTTTAAATCCTTTTAGCCCGTGCTATTTGAATAGAGAATGCCTTCACACCATATAATTAATTCCAGTTCATTGTAGAACATTAACACTCATTACCTTTCTTTGATCCTTAACATTTCAGAGAGGTCTACAAGAATAGTCCACAATTCTAACATCTTATGTTGAGACCCTCATCCCCATTCAGGGAGTTAATCCCCTTGTTTGTTTACAAAGGATGAGTTGTTGTCTCAGGATGAATAATTAATTGCACACAGAGGGTGTCTTAGATACAAAGAGTAATTAATGGCCCATTCCATGCAAGCTACCTCAGCATTAAGGAGTCTCACGGATCAAAGATGGAGAACGTAGAAGGAATATTTACAAACAGTAGGATAGAATATGTGATATTTATAATTTGCAGTAGAGCGGCAAATAAATTGCCCTGAGTTTGTATCTCTACCATTTTTTTAAAAAAAAATAATTTTATTGAACAGTAACATTATAAAGATTAAAAACTAATATAAACTATGGAAGTAGAGAAAAATGGAAAATGCAGAAAACAAAAATATAGACAAGAAAAAAGTAACAATACAGTAAAAAGAATGAAAGCAAGAGAGGGAGAGAGAGGAAGAAAGTAAGAAAGAAAAAGAAAGAAAGAAAGAAAGAAAGAAAGAAAGAAAGGAAGGAAGGAAGGAAGGAAGGAAGGAAGGAAGGAAAGAAAGAAAGAAAGAAAGAAAGAAAGAAAGAAAGAAAGAAAGAAAGAAAGAAAGAAAGAAAGAAAGAAAGGACTTCCTCCTTCATCACAAGTACAAACAATTTTAATAATCTATCACCTTCAACAAATTATCACTTCTTTCCATAATCTACAAATAAATTCTTAAAATCTTGACATTCAGTCATGGTCACCAAAATTCCATTAAAAGTTACCTATTTTAACCTTGATCAAAGAAGCCAACTTTATATGTTTTTTTTTAACTTTTAACAATCTTGATCATTTCAAATAATATTGTTGATTTCATTTTTTCTTTGTCTCTTCTCACAAAGAGAAGAGTTTCTTCAAAACGTTAACAAGTCTCCTTTGTAAATCAAATAGAGGGAAGTTATTCAGGTTACTCTTTTATTTTATTATTTTTATATTGCTTTTAATTATTAAGATATCAGTCAATTTCATTTGTACTCCCAGGATAGCATCTTTTGCCATAGCATTCTAATAGACTGCCATTTGTAAATCCTCTTCGACATCAGAATAACAGAGTTGGAAGGGACCTTGGAGATCTTCTAGCCCAACCCCCTATTTCAATAGAAGAACCTATATCATTTTGGACAAATAATTGTTCAAGATCAATCTCAATCTTATCTAGCAAAACTCATTCCTCTTCCATAACATCTTTTAAACACAGTATAATGGCAGTTACTTTTAAAATTAAATTCTTGGTCCATTCTTCACAAATATCCCATGATATGTCTAACATTAACATATATTACTCCATTTTATACTAGTAACTCAAATGTAAGTGTTCTTCCTCTTTAATTGTAATCTTTAGTTCCTTCTAATTGTCCAATTTTCAAAGTCCCCATTCCTATTATTTTTTAAAAAAAATACAAAACATCTGCATTTTCCCACAGAAAGGATTCTTATAATGAATTTCAAAATCTTACTTCAAATCTACCTGCATCCTTAGTCCATTTGTAATTCTCCATCATTTTGTCGCTTGTATCCTTACGATTTATATTGACGGTTTCCTAGTCTGATTTGATCGCTTATTGTACCCTATGACTATCATTAAGTGTTGTACCTGATGATTCTTGACTCTTGATGAATGTCTCTTTTCTTTTATGAACACTGAGAACATTTGCATCAAGACAAATTCCTTGTGTGTCCAATCACACTTGGCCAATAAAGAATTCTATTCTATTCTATTCCAAAATCACAGTTCTGATCACTTTTTTTTCTGTTTATTCCCAAAAAGTTTTAAATGTTTTAAATCCATACACTTGTATTTAAATCTTGTTTCACTAAGGATTAAAGGAAACTCACCAGCTACTATCAAATGTGCCATTCCAAAGATTCCTAATAGCTGAAAGCATTTAACAAGCCATTTTCCAAAAATGATTATATAAACACACGGGAACCCTTGTCCATAAATGCACCGGTTGCAGTTTGGATGAAGATAGTCTTCGCTCATCTCCCAGCGCTCTAAAGTCATAAGGAGCAACTATCTGGAGCACTTGTGGGCAATCCAAAATCCCGTCCTTTTCTGAAGAGTGTAGGAAGCTCTGGTCCCTTCCCAGAATAAAATATTTGTCAGCTTTGGGAGCCATATTGACAGCAGATGCTTCCACATTCTTGAGCTTGGGAAAATGGGAGGGGGGAATTTCTTGGAGAGAATGTGGTTAGACACAATAGCATTCTTCTTCTAAGTCAAGGTCATGTTCTTTCTGCACCTGGGTGAGGGGATGTCTCAAGCGAGGAAGGATGGTGATTGGGGCATGTGATGCGATGATGGGTGCAAGGTGTGGATTTGTAGTTTTTACTTATTGCAAGGAAACCTGGAACTTTCAGATTCGGGATTTCCCAGATGGGCCAGTTTACTATCCACATAAAACAGAACTTTTGAGAAGATGCTTATCTCGGAGTTATTGCTTGGAGTGAAGGTTTTCTGGAACACTGACTATTATTGATTCTTAATATTAAAAAGAGGCAGAATAGAATATTTCCCCTGAAGGAGAAGAGGGGAGAGATCTTCTTAAAGTCTAAAAGCAGCCCCCGATCTTCCTGCTATAGGAAAACAGCCTCGAGCAGAAACCCAAAGAGACGAGTCTTTAGAAATGGATATATTCAGAAAGCTGGGCCACTCTATTCCTCTATTCATAAACAAAGAGCAGCCAGAAACTCCAAATAAGCAACAAAATAGGCAAGGAGCCAATGCCAACAAGGTGAACTCAGACAAACTAAACACCTAGGATTTGCATTTCCCCTTTTGCCTATAGAGCCAGCCATGACCCCTACATGACCCCATAGGAATCTGGCAACAGCCATTAAAATATTGAAGGACATGTTCTTGCATAGAAAAGGCATCTCAATCACAAAGCCCCAAAGAATGTATAAAAGCCCACCTACTCTCAACTCCAGTTTTGTCAGCCAGCCCGGAAACATGCTCCTGTCCCTAGTTTCTGGCTGTCAAATAAACAGAAACTTCCTTTCCTCCATTTTATTTCCAATGTCTTTCTCCCAGCTTGGAACCAGACTGGATTTTTCTTCCAACAGGAGGAATCCCAAAGAACTGATCTGCTCACTAGCTCTTTGTTTCACTGTGGTTAGATAAGATAATCTTTATTGTCTTTTTTTTAATGTGAACACACACTGGTACATATTAAAAATGAAAATATGTTGCCATTTCCGCTCGTAGCAGAGCTGTCTTCCACTCACCATTTCTTTCCCATAATTTACACATATATCCATATTCTCATTATGGTGTGTCTAACATAATGACATTTAAAGTCCACATTAACCTTGATTTTACCATCCCACAGTTATCCATGCCACCCAAATCTCAGGCTACATCCTTCTAAGTCCAGAAGTCTTCTATTTCTTCTAAGTCTTCTGAGCCACGGTGGCGCAGTGGTTAGAGTGCAATACCGCACTCTAACTTCTGCTGACTGCTGGCTGCCTGCAATTTGGCAGATCGAATCTCACCAGGCTCAAAGTTGACTCAGCCTTCTAGCCTTCTGAGGTGGGCAAAATGATGAGCTAAAATTGTTGGGGGCAATAGGCTGGCTCTGTAAATCGCTTAGAAAGGGCTGTAAAGCACTGTGAAGAGGTATATAAGTCTAAGTGCTATTGCTATTTCTCAGCCATGCCCAGTCTTTCTTTCCATCCAAACCAAACAGCAAGCTGTAAAGCACACATTCAAATCAGGTATACCCAATCCTTTGCACCTTGCAAAAAGTTATATTTAACTCGTTTTCTTTCCCTGGCTTACAAATTTAGATACATCCTTCTTCTGTCACTGTTTAATCGACAGAGGCTGAAAACAGGCTCTGTCTGAGGTAGAATGTTTTGGTTTTGATCCAACTCATAAATTCATAAGTTCTGAACTGCTTCTGAAATAGCGGAGAGCTTTTTCATCTGTTGGCAATGATTTTTTTTCTTCTCATCTTCTGTTCCTTTTCTTTGATGAGCCCTTGTCATTAAGATCTTCAGCAAAAGATCTCAGGGATGGGAGACAAAATATTAAATTCTCTGTCTGGTTCTGCCGCAGAAAACCGGAGATGGCAACTATTCCTGCAGGGCCATCTTTTCACTTTAACCTTGCATCTGTCAAACAAGCCTATTGCTTCTCTCTCAGGTACACCAGAGTGACAGTATAGGTGTTAATCAGCTGTGTGAGTCTAAGCAGGATAATGCTTGGCTCAGCCATGATGGGCTGTCAGCTGAAGAAATTTCCTCGGGAGCCAGGAGGATATTGTTCCGCCAAGGTGAATGTTCTCGTGCCACAGGCTTGCCAATCTGTTCAGGGAGAGCTGTTGTTATCACCAGAACGCAGAAAGCAACATTAAAAAAAAGTCAAATGCTTATCAGGAAGTGTCTGTCAAAGCTCCTGGATACTTAACGTTGTATCCTCAGGATTCATCAGCTACAATAAGATAAAAGGTGTATTTTCACATCTTTGTAGGTGTTGTTGTGGCCTGCCAGCTGCCAGCAGAGCTGGTGGTAGAAACAGACAATGAGCAGGTTGGGGAAGAACTTGGACCAGTTGTGCAGCCTGGGGAAGGAAAACTCTGGTGGAGACTCTGTGTTGGATGGAGAGATAGAGCCAAGGCCATCCGACATTTCCCAGCCTTTGGAGGCTGATGTGAGTGAGGAGGAAGAATGGCTGGGGCCTGTTCCAGATGCACATATGCACAGAGCTGTTAGGAGAGGAGAATAATGGAGGACAAGGAGTCAGTTCGGGAAGCAAAGCACACATGGATGCTGAATGGCCCCTCCCTGGCTGGGGAATAAATAGAAGGAGTGGTTGTTGTAGGAAACAAACAGTTTGTCTTTCTGAAGATTTTGCTCATTGCCACAGAGACTGCTCTCCAGAAATTAATTTGCAGCCTTTCAGCTAGGAGCTCACTGCCTTGCAATTATCGCAAGGAACTGATAAAATCTGTGACTGCCATTAATTCTTTGAAGGACTATTGCCTGGACTTTTTGGTGGGTGAATGCCATTAATTCACAAGAGGTAAATAAAGAGGGGTGGTTTTTTGTTTGTTTTTTTGACAAGGAGTCCGTTTCTTGCTTCTGCTAAGGCTGGGTCAGAACAGTGTAGACAGAGAGATACACAGAGACACACATGCAAACACATACCTAAACAGAGCCAGTTTGGTCTAGTGATGAGGATGCTGGTCTAGAAACTAGGAAATTACAACTCTAGTCCCACCTTAGGCATGAAAGCCAGTTGGATGACTTTGGGCCAGTCACCAGGAGACTGTGAGTTCTAGTCTTGTCTTAGGAATGAAAGCTGAGTGAATGACTTTGGGCCAGTCACCAGGAGACTGTGAGTTCTAGCCCTGTCTTCGGTATGAAAGCCAGCTGGGTGATTTGCCTAAATCACTAGGAGACTGTGAGTTCTAGTCCTGTCTTAGGCATGAAAGCTGAGTGAATGACTTTGGGCCAGTCACCAGGAGACTGTGAGTTCTAGTCCTATCTTAGGCATGAAAGCTGAGTGGATGACTTTGGGCCAGTCACCAGGAGACTGTGAGTTCTAGTCTTGTCTTGGGAATGAAAGCCAGCTGGCCTGGGTGATTTGCCTCAGGCATGAAAGCCAGATAGATGACATTGTCCCAATCACCAAAATACTATGAGTTCTAGTCCTACCTTATGCATGAAAGCCTGCTGGGTGACATTGGGCCAATCACCATGTGACAGGGAGTTCCAGTCCTGCCTTAAGGCATGAAAGTCCTCTGGGTAAATTTGGCCAAATAATCAAGAAATGGTGAGTTCTAGTCCTACCTTAGGTATGAATTCTGGTTGGGTGACTTTGGACTATTCACCAGGAGACAGTGAGTTCTATCTTGGCCATGAACGCCAGCTGGGTGACTTTGGGCCAGTCACTCTCTCTCTCTCTCTCTCATCCCAGCCCATCTCACACAGCTGTTATTGTGGGGAAAATAGGAGGAGGAAGGAGTATTCAGTATGTTCACCACCTCGAATGATTTATAAAAACAATAAACATGGGATATAAATGACCTGAGCTTAGTACACAAAATTGTCTGCTACAGCGTCCTACCTGTCAATGACTTCTTCAGCTTCAGTCACAATAACACGCTGGCAAACAATAGATACAAACTCAAAGTAAACCACTCTAAACTCGATTGCAGAAAAGACGACTTCAGCAACAGAGTGGTCAACGCCTGGAACTCACTACCTGACTCTGTTTTTACAGCCTCAAACCCCCAAAACTTTAACCTTAATCTGTCTACCATGGACCTCACCCCATTCCTAAGCGGTCTGTAAAGGGGCGAATATAAGTGCACCGGCATGCCTACTGTCCCTGTCCTACTGTTCCCATTTATTCCTACTCATTTATTATGAATATACTTATACCTGTTTGTTATGTCTCCTCTTGGAAATTCAAACGAACAAACATAAAGCAGCCGTTTCACAATCAAATCAAACTGAAGGAAATAACAAGATAACGACTGGCAGAAACTGTTAGGACTCCCCTTCGAAATTCAAACAAACAGAGAGCTCTTTGCTATAACGTCCTCATTCAAAATAGTCATTTTGTTTCTGGTGAAATGCACCAGCTCAGCTGTGTCCTTTTATACCCATTAAGGCAACGTGCTAATTAACTGGCTTGCCCTTCAGATTAATGTTTCCTGGTTCTGACGTCAATCCACGATCTAACAGCCATCAGAGTCAAAACTCCCAACAGGACCGATCCTTCCAATCACAACACTTGTTTATACGTCTATGTTTATATGTTACGTTCATACTTATACTTGTTTTCTCATACATGCTTGACAAACCACGCTAAATAAAATAAATAACATAAATGCAGGCATAAATAAATAAAATAGACATATTGCATCATTTGCTAATCTTTTCCTGGTTGTTCGCTTCTATAAATCTCCCCCTATAAATTGTTAAAAAAATTCTTGGTCAAAAACTCAGGAAAAAGCAACCCGAATCTGTTCAGCCGCTATTTAATTTTGGAGCAATATTTGAGTGAACCACAGAGATTCTCTGTTGCTGATGTCCGATCTATGCCTTCTCATTTGTTCAGCCGTGAAAACTGCTGGAGACCTTCCCCGATTCTAAATAGCTTTCTTTTTCAACGCTTTCCAATAGCACATCCTAATTCAAAATAGAAAACGAAGGAAATGAATCGAAAAGGTTGTGCAGATATTAGAATGAGTGTGAACAAAATACA